AAGGTCGACATTTAAAAAAAAAAACAATTTTCTGAACATTGATAACTGCCCCATTAGCAAGGGTCACCGAGAACTGCCTTTATCTTCTGAAAGCGGTTGTTGGTAAAAATTACCTACTTCATATTGAGATGCCTAAAGTTCTGAATCTTTCTTTCTTTTGTTGCTCCTGAGCTCAGAGTGAGTGATATTCCGATGATATAATGTCGGGAATGTACGGCAGAAATCTACGGCCTGGCTCAGCTCTTCCCAGATTGAGCTGACAAGAGTGATTCCATATACGTCGACAAGCGCTATCGTGAGAATGGGTTGCTTTCTTTGTTGGGATGAACTCAATATTTGAACTTTGCACAGGAGAAATTGCGTTTGTCTTGCTTTCTCCGTTATAGCTGCAGAACAAAATACCTCGTTTTTATAACAATCGACAAAACCTTCTTGGGCGGCTGTTGAACTTGATGCGCTTTCCACAATTGAATTATACTTTGTCTCTACTAGTAATTGAGTCCTAAATTTTATGTTTTTCTATGGAGGAAGCAGCATACATTGACAGAGAGGGACTTGGTTAACCCAAGTATGCTCAATCAGTGCAGATGGGCTTTTTGGAAGCCTCAATAGTACTATCCTTAAAACAGTACGCGGACAATGAAGAAGCTTTATGACTAAAGTTTTCCATTCTTCTTTGGCTATTCTTTACTTTTCAAACGTTCGACTTTCATATGAAACAACCCTTAGGTTGATTTCAATCATCCTATAATATTTGAGTCTATTCTGCATATTGGAAGTTTTAGAAGATTTCATAACATACAGCACAGTGCCGAGCTCAATATGGAACTTGGAAAAGCAGAGAAGAACGAGCATAGGAAAATACATGAGATGTTTACCTAATCATACCTCGCAAAGAGACGATGTTGCACTCCAAGTTTTGATAACATTGGGATCTGTATTCGTTTCATTCACTCTGACTGATATTAGCTGCAGCTTATTGGGTTCTCCTCTTTTTGTAGCTGTAAAAGTACAGAAGCTTTTGAATTTTCTTTTGAAAAAAAAGTATAGGCTCTGCGAGATGATGATGACTTCAAAGATGAAAAGCAGAAAGGGATATTCCCACCTTTCATGATCAGTCTCAGCAATTTGATATTATAAGCAAATAGATGAGTCTAGTGTTGAATGTGCCAAAGATAGCATTTGATCTTTTCATTCTAACAAGCTCCTCAATTGTCAACTTACGGTTATCTCCGATGCCGGCAACGCTAAGTCGCAAAGCCAGC